TCCATGATCTCTGCAGTGGAACCGGCGGCTTCACTATCTGAGCAGACAGCTGATTTCAGCGAATTGAAGGACAAAGCGGAGAGAGAGCAGTCTCATTTTCACCTAGTAAGTTCCTGTTGTTATGCCAGAGGTCTTCTCCAGACCGTCCAGCCACCATCTCTGCACCCGAGAAGTCCGTGCGGTTCCCTGTGTCGCCCACTATCTCCGCATCCCAGCCGTCCATTCGACCTCCTCAGCACGGCATCCCAGCAGTCTGTTCCGTCGCCTCGAACTCCCAGCTGTCTGTCTCTGAGGATACCAGGGGCTTATGCCACCAGTCGGATAAAAGAATGTGAGTCCCATCACCTCTGCATCCTGGCCGTCCATTTTAAGCGCCCAAGGGTCTTTCAACGGACATTTCACTAATTCGATTTCGTGATTTTATATAACAAAATGTCAGTTCTAACGAAACGACAGCCCCCACTCCTTTTCCACTTGTTTTTGAACAACTTATTCCACTGGGCCCGCTGGGTTGCGTGGGACCAAAACATTTAATATGCAGTTTAACTTATTGAATCAGATCCAGGGTGCCGCTGGGCCGCTCTTGCTGTTCCACTTTCTTTTTTTTTTTTTTTTTTTTTTTTTTTTTTTTTTTTTTTTAAGCCCAGGTTGTTGTAGAGGCTGGATTGCAGACATATGAGAGTCACCTTCGGCACTCGGCCATGTGGTAGAGGCCCCCTAATCCCTATAGGACTACCAATCTGCCATCTGGGAGCAGCCCACAGTGTACCACCTCAACTACCAATCTAGAACCTTCAACCTGGGAGCATCAGCCCACCATCCTTCTCTCCACCTCAATTACCAATCTCCTATCTTCAATCTGCTTCAATCTGCTGCTTCAATCTGCTTCAATCTGCTTCAATCTGCTTCAATCTGCAACTTGCGGCACTTTGCTGCTTCAATCTAGAATCTGCAATCTGCTGCAATCTTCAATTGGCAATCAGCAAGCTACTGCAATCTGCAATCCGCTGTAATATGCAATTCGCAATCTCAGTCTGCTGCAATTTGCAATTTGCAATTTCCCATTTGCAATCTGCAATTTGCAATTTACAATTTGCAATCTGCAATCTGCAATCTGCAATTTGCAATTTGCAATTTGCAATGTGATGAAGGATGGCTTCAGTCTTGGTGGACGTCATTGAGTTCAACTGTGTCACGTGGCTGATGACGAGGACTGTTGTTGGGCCTGTCCGAGCTGCTTGTTGCCGATAACTCCTCTCCCGCTTGGGAACTCAGTCGTCTCAGCCTGTGGATCCTTTTTCTCCCTTTCTTTCCCCCTTTTTTTCGTCTTTCTCTTTACTCAGACCCTGGATCTGCACTCTCTCTCTCTCTCTCTCTCTCTCTCTCTCTCTCTCTCTCTCTCTCTCTCTCTCTCTCTCTCTCTCTCTCTCTCTCTCTCTCTCT